ATCGATATGAATGTAGTTGTAATCATACAACTTCATTTGCTCTTATTTGGTTACCAAAAGTACCTCTCACACGTCATCTCAATGCACAAGACATTGCATTACTCATAGTTCTATCAATTGTAATTCTATGCTTCATAGCAATTATTATTCATGGATTAACTATTCGAATTTGTATCTCAAGTGTATCTACACAAGCACGTCATTTACTTCCATTAATTTCATGTGCAGTAACAATAATTCTTTTTATTTTTTATATTGCTTTATCAATGACAGTTTATACAAAAACAGCATACGACGATGAAAAACAATGTTTTACAAGTTCAAGTGTATTGATGTTTTTTGTTTATTTCTTTTTAATTTTTATGTTTTGTGTCAAAACAAGTGTTGGATATTTTAATTATTTACGATTTGTTCGTCTATTTCCTGAACCATCATATCGACTATTATATATAATGCTTTTGATTTCATTTTTTATTTCTATTACATGGGTAGCTTTTGCAGCTGGATTTAATTCTAATTCATCATTTCATATTACTCAATTATATCCATATAAACTTTGTTGGTTTACTCGTCCTGCTATTTATTATTTTTTGACAATACCTGTTGGTATTTTTCTCTTAATTAATATATTTATATTTATTCGTGTAGCTCAACGTATAGTAAATCATGTTCTATATGCAAATTCAACTCATAAACCGTATGAAAGAATGAAAGGATGTATACTTGTTTTACTTTCATCATGTGCAACTCAAGGTATTGGTTGGCTTCTTGGTCCATTTTTAACAATTGCTAATGAAAACACTGCCCAAGTTTTAGGATGGTTTTTTATTATTTTTAATGGATTAGAAGGACTTTGGTGTATTCTTTTATATATCATAATTTGGTTACAACATTGGGATGAACGAAAACGTGTTATGGCTGCGAAAGAACTAACAAAATCAAAGAGTTTATCCTATAGAAAACATGAAAAACATCGTAAACAAGATTTATATTATGATTCATTCACAGGATTATCAATGGATAATGAAGATTCTCGAAGACAATCATATATTTTCGATGATCTATATAATTGGGAAATTACCGATGGAACAAGTACCTATTGTTAAAAAGAATTATTACTATCAAAACTTTGAAGTACTCTTGTCAGTTTTTTGTTTGCTTTTTCTAGTTTTAGTTTTGTATTTTTTTAAATTTTTTCAAACATGTTTATATATTTAATAAAATATAAATTAATACAGACAATTGTTTATTTTTTTAATCTAATATTTTATTTTCAATTGAAAAACAACTAAAAATTAATTTAAATATTACAAAAAGAAAAATTCTTAAATAGAAATACTATGTAACTTTATAATTTGAAATGACATATAAATTAATAAAAAAAAAAAAAAAACAGACGAAGACTAATATAGTGTGAAGAATTATGTAGAATAAATAAGTATCAAAGTAAAACTTGCATACTAACAATTTATGATAACTACTAGCGACATATATGAAGAGGTACATTGAATAAAATCTATTTGTCTGTATTTTTTTCCAATAAATATATCATTGCCACGTTTCATTTCATTTTTAATCTTCATCACTATATTAATATACAGAAGTTCATTGTCTTTGCATTTTATTAAGAAAAAAAAATGGCTACTTATCAAGAATTTATAGCTCAAAATGAAGAACGTGATGGTGTTCGTTTTACATGGAATGTTTGGCCATCGACACGTCTTGAAGCAACACGACTTGTTGTACCACTTGGTTGTCAATTTACACCATTAAAAGAACGTTATGATCTTCCACCATTAAATTATGATCCTGTTTTATGTACAAATAAAACATGTCGATCAATATTAAATCCATTTTGTAATGTTGATTATCGTGCTAAAATTTGGATATGTAATTTTTGTTTACAACGTAATAATTTTCCACCACAATATGCTGGTATAAGTGAACAATTACAACCAGCTGAAATTTCACCACAATATACAACTATTGAATATACATTAATGGTAAATACAGTGACGTATCCAGGATTTTTCAGTATGCTGAATCTTGATTTCCGAGCACGGGATCCAGATGAAGCTCATGGAGGGTGATGTTGGATCCAAATAATGGAATTTTATCAAAAAAAATTTACATTTGGAGTTTGCGAAAAAAATTAGCATTTTCCTGATCCTCCTCTCGAGGATTTTTTGCTGTTAGTAGTATCATAGTTTTTAGAATTTCATAGGAAGCTACACTGAATTTCATCGATAGATTTCATATTTCGTTTAAAAATATGCAACCGTTGAAGAGTTATAACTTTTTGAGTTTTTGCTACATGTGAAAACAATTTTTGCAATATTTCAAATCGTCATAACTCTTGAACGGTTGCATATTTTTAAACGAAATTTGAAATCTATCGATGAAATTCAGTGTAGTTTCCTATGAAATTCTAAAAACCATGATACTACTAACAGCAAAAAATCCTCGAGAGGAGGATCAGGAAAATGCTATTTTTTTTTCGCAAACTCCAAGCGTAAATTTTTTTTGATAAAATTCCATTATTTGGATCCAACATCGCCGTCTTTGAGTTTCATCTGGATCCCGTGCCCAGAAATTGAGATTCAGCATACTGAAAAATCCTGGATACGTCACTGATATATATTTATTAAATGATTTTTATTATTTTTCTTTTTAGCGTATGCCAGCTCAACCAACTGTATTTTTATTTGTTGTTGATACATGTATGGATGAAGATGATATGACAGCATTAAAAGTAAGATTAAATTTTTTGATATTTTTATTTTTATTTTTTGTATTTCATAGGAATCATTACAAATGGCTTTAAGTTTATTACCATCTGATGCTCTTGTTGGTTTAATAACATTTGGTCGTATGATACATATTCATGAACTTAATTGTGAAGGTATGACACGTAGTTATGTATTTCGTGGTACAAAAGATTATACAGCTAAACAAGTTCAAGTAAAATTATTAAATAATATATATATATATATATTGAAATATTTTTTAAATAATTACTAGGATATGCTTGGTTTAATGAAACAACAACCAAATCAAAGACCAGTACCTGGGAATCCACAACAACAACAACAACAACAACCAACAAATTTTTTTAGCAAGTAAGAAAATTTTGTTTGTTTTTATTTAAATGTTTTTTTTTTGTTATTTTAATTAGATTTCTTCAACCACTTTCAACATGTGATATGTCATTAACAGATCTTCTTGGTGAACTTCAACGTGATCCATGGCCTGTACAACAAGGTAAACGTGCTTTACGATCAACTGGTGCTGCACTTTCAATAGCTATTGGTTTATTAGAAGTATAAAATAATTTGAAATCATATCTTTTTTTTTGATTTTTTTTTTTTTTTTTGTTAGACACTTTATCCAAATACTGGAGCTCGTATAATGTTATTTATTGCTGGTCCATGTACACAAGGACCAGGTATTATTATTGATGAAGAATTAAAACATACAATACGTTCACATCATGATATTGAAAAAGATAATGCAAAATATATGAAAAAAGCAATTAAAGTATGATAAATTTAATTTTTGTTTCTTTTTAAATAGAGATTTCATGCATATATATATATATAATCTTAATTCAATGATATAGACTTGTTTTTTTTTTCTATGAATTTGAAACTACTTTTATTTTTTTTTTATAGTTTTATGAAGGATTAGCAAATCGTGCAGCTGTTAATGGACATGTTATTGATTTATATTCATCAGCATTAGATCAAACTGGTTTACATGAAATGAAATATTGTACAAATTATACAGGGTAATTTAATTCTTTGAGAATTTTTTTTTTTAAATATTTAAAATTGAATATTATTTTAGTGGTCATATGGTAATGGGTGATTCATTTAATACATCATTATTTAAACAAACATTCCAAAAAGTATTTGCTAAAGATAATAAAAATGAATATCGAATGAATTTTGGTGCAACTGTTGAAGTCAAAGTAAAAAAAAAAAAAAATAAAAGGAAATTAAACATATTCTTTTATTTTTATTATATAGACAAGTCGTGAACTTAAAGTATGTGGTGCAATTGGTTCTTGTGTATCACTTGCACAACGTGCATCAAATGTATCTGAAACTGAATTAGGTATGGGTGGAACAAATGCATGGAAAATTTGTGGTATATATCCAAATTCAACATTATCAGTCTTTTTTGAAGTACTTAATCAAGTAAGATTTTTGAATGTTTTTTTTTATGTATAAAATTTATTAATTAATAGCAAGCATCAACACAAATTTCATCAGGTGGTCAACGAGGATATGTTCAATTTATTACACAATATCAACATTTATCTGGTTTTAAGAAAATTCGAGTTACAACTGTAGCAAGAAAGTATGTGTCTAAGTTCGAGAGTTACGAGTCTACGTTTTTTTGGCTCAAATATAGTATTAGAGAATTACAAAATCGAAGTTGTTGTGAACTCTTACAGCTCTCTAGTCTGAATCTATTACTAGGGGTCGAACAGGTCCCCAGGTCAATGATTCCGGTGAACAGATGTCGCAGAAACCAGCGGGAAAACTCACCGTATCCTGCAGGGAAATCGTGGGAACATGGAAGCAGTATTCCGGCCGGAAATTTTTCGGATTTTTTCTGGCCGGTTCCTGCTGGAAAGCACAGGAAGTTGGTCGGAATCTACCGAAAAATTTCCTGTGGGAATACTGTTTCCGGTATTTTCCTGCCGTACGTCTTTCTTTTGAGCTAAGTTGAACCGGTTCGTTTGAGCTGTGTTCCCAAAACAGAACACTTTTGTTCCGTTTTCGAGAAATAATTCCCATAACAGAACAAAAGTGTTCTATTATGGGAATACAGCTCATAAGAGCTGTTCGAATAGTTCCTCTGAGCTCAGCTTGTCGACGCCTAGCTATTGGAAAGAAAAATTTGAATTATGATTGTCACATACAGATTACTTCTAAATTACTTAGTCACATCAAAATAAGAAAAAAAAAGGTTGACAACTTAATTAACATTTGATGATGTGAATAATAATGAAAAAAATGTCATCATAAAATAAATTATCTATCTTTTATGTTTATGACATTTAAGAAAATTTAATTATAATCTTTTCATATTATTAAAATCCAAGATATCTAATAGAAAAAATATTTAATTATTATAGTTTAATTGATGCTGTATCAAATATGCCAACAATTGCTGCATCATTTGATCAAGAATGTGCTAGTGTAGCAATGGCTCGTATTGCAGTTTATCGTGCTGATACAGAAGAAGGTTCGGATATACTTCGTTGGTTAGATAAAATGCTTATACGACTTGTATGTTATATTCCTATTTAATTTTCATAATAATAATGTTTTTGTTTTTTTGTTAGTGTCAAAAATTTGCTATTTATGAAAAAGATAATCCAGGTTCATTTCAATTAACAGATACATTTACACTTTATCCACAATTTATGTATCATTTACGTCGTTCACAATTTCTTCAAGTATTTAATAATAGTCCTGATGAAACAGCTTTTTATCGGTAAATTCAAAAAAAAAAAAGCGACAAAAATTTATTTAAATATTATTTATTTCTATAATAGACATTATTTACTTGTTGAAGATTTAACACAATGTCTTGTTATGATTCAACCAATTCTTTATGCTTATTCATTTAATGGTCCACCAGAGGTAAAAGAAATTTATATATTAAATCTATATTCTAATCACAAGTCAGTTATTATTAAGAAATATAAATAAATCTTTATAATACTCGTATTCATTCTCTAGAGATTTGAAAGCGAAATATATTTTTCTAAAGATTCATATCAATCGATAGAAAACGTTTTTATTCAAAAATAAATTTACACGATTGATTGCCTTTACTCTTGGGAATAAAATTCAAAAAAAATTTTTTTTTTTTCTTCTAGCCTGTACTTCTTGATAGTAGTAGTATATTACCTGATCGTATTCTTTTAATGGATACATTTTATCATATATTAATATATCATGGTGAAACAATTGCACAATGGTTTAAAGCTGGTTATCAAGATTTACCTGAATATGAAAATTTTAAACAATTATTACAAGCACCTGTTGGTGATGCAACTGAAATTCTTCAAAATCGTTTTCCTATGCCA